CCCCCCCCCCCCCCCCGAATAAATGTTCACCCTAAAAAATCATCATAATTTGTAAAGAACTTGAGTCGTTTGCAAAAAAAAAAGAAAAAAATGCAATTAATTTATTAATTAATTAAAGATAAAGGAGTTCAAACACATTTGCTGCTAACTTTGTCTATGATGTACACCAGGGTCGCCGGAGCGATCCATTCTCTAGCGTGTATACCGGCATCCACCCAAATGGCTGGTTTAGTTCCATCTTCCCCTATCTGAAAAACATAAGATAAAATATTAATGTACACTGCCGTAAGGCAATTTTTGTGGCTTCCCAGCTCGTGAATAACTGAAGATGTCTTTGTTCATTGTCTTTTTCGTGTATTAAGTTCATTTTTCTTTATTTTGTTTGTGTAGGTCTAAATAATATATGCTACTGTTGTAGGCCTAGTGAAGATTTTTTGAGGTCTCAATTTCTCGTGTTTATCGTGAAATTCAAAGCCTCTATATCCACTGTGACAGTAATTAAAAAAGGTGACTCAAAAACGGGTTTTTGGATTGTAATTTTGTGAACGGTCTTGGTTATGGTATACATTGGTGATAAAGGGAAACACTAGAAATCCACCAATTGCAAGAAAAAATATTTTGCTCTATATAAAGTCAAACCATCTGCTTTTAATTTTCTCTATGTCCATGAATCAGAAGTCACCGATGTCTTAGACTCGAAGACCACTCACTTTCAACACTTTCATGTCCTTGCCCTCGTAAGTTTGACCAATCGTTTCAACAGTAGCTAGACCATTACTGTCTGCAGCCACAGCGTCCAGCCAGGCGTTGATCTAGGGAAAAAAGTAAAACATTCATTATTCAGAACAGCACAACAGCGCTTTAGATCAGTGTATTGATTCATGTCAACATTTGTGATTTGCGTGATAGATTTCAATCAAATGCAGCAATGTTCTGACGCGACAAGCGAACTTGTATTAGAATTTGAAAATAAAATAGGAGCGAGTCTGTTTTATAACTCGGGCTAGTCTATGCTGTAAAAACTTTTAAACGAGACATGCAAACGCTTTTTTTCTGCAATGCGTCCTATTTAATGTATGGCTCATTGGATGTTACGCAAACCACCGAAACCAACCAACGTTTCATGTTGAAATGACAAAACTTGCTCTGCCAGTCCACTGAGTTAAATTTTGATGAAATGTTTGAAGCCCCACATACCTCTCCGTGACGTGCATACGTCCCCACAATACTATCCGTTGCCAGGTTACTAAACGTTGCCACAGCAACTTGTCCGTTTTTGCACTTGTTTTTACCCTTTCCCTTCCAGTTGCCATTGTCCAGAGACTCGCATGCCTTGCTCTTTATCTTGTCCTCGCGGGCTTTATTATTACTGGTTGTCTCAGTATCTATGAGGCTTATAAATAATAATAATAATAATAATAATAATAATAATAATAATAATAATAATAATTTTATATTGCGCTCCGCTTTTGGATCAGCGTTGTGTAGAAAAAGATGATTGAAAACAAAAATTCTTTAATATTCAACAAAGATTAAATTATCCCTTTGGCATTTCCAAGAAATTTATGCAACTTAAACCCCTGTTCTAATCTGATCTTATTCTGCTACCGGTTTAATTGCACGGACCATTATTTTACCATTTTTTGAATTTTAAGCTCCAAGTGCCATCAAAACTAATTTATCTTCGTGTTGTAAAATTAAACGGTTAAGATTACAATTATCACAACTGAACAGGATTTTCATGGTTTCCACCGCTATCTGCAGTACTCATGTGTCTTAATACGATTGTTTGACAGCACCCTTCTATTCGTGCCTATTTCATATCAACTAAATATGATACAGCTGTATAACTCTCACCTCTGAATATCCTCCTGAATGACCTTATACGTGATCTTATTGACCTCTATCAGCCGGATAAAGGTTCTATAGGTCTTAGGTGGGACGCATTCCCCCTTCCCCCTCCCCCCCCCCCCCCCCCGAACAAACACACGCCGTTATGAATACCCTGGATACGTTAGTGGAAAAGTTGTCTCGGCACATGAGATAAACTGATTCTATTTTCGTGATGTTGAATTGTTAATTTTTTCAGTGTTTAAAAATCAGACAAAAACTTTTTTCTTTCTTTTCCCTATTACTGGGTTTTACTTTTCTTGTTCTGGGCTTCAACTTACGCCTAATTGGACGGTGTTTTCCAGTCTCTTTAGAAAGTCAATTTGGTCCTGTGTAGTCGGGGAAAGTCGCACAAGTCGGTAGCTGAAATGCACATAAATATAACTTATATATTAATGAAATCTTTTCCCTGAATGTACAATGACGCAACCAGCTACATGTATGTGCGATACAGGACTTTTTGGATGACAGTCGACAGATCTCTTCGATCTTCTTGGTGCGCATCTGAGAATTTTGGGAATTAATCAAGTTGGTTAATCAGTGTGACCTGGGCACGGAGGGGGCTTCAGAAATATCTTGCTGCCTTCTCCAATAGCACGAACATTCATGCGTTAGTACTCCTATGGCCGGTTCTGATATGTAAGGCCAGTTAATAGGAGTGTTAACGCACGGATTTTCGTGCTACCTCCCCCCCCTGCCCCCTCCTACTCGAGTATTTTTTTCAATCTTTTTTAAAGAATCTTCATTTAGTGTTTACCTTCAAACATTTTTCGACCAACGCCATTTAATCAGGTAATATAGATTGTGCTCATATAGATTGTGATTCAAATGCGCTCATATGAGCAATAACAGTTCGTACAAAATTCGAAGTAAAAATGTATTCTGTTATCCCGTTTTGATGTCGCAATGCTGTGGTAATGTCAACTTTTAAGTTTTAGTAGGTGAGAGGTGGGGAAAAAGGTAATGCCAATTTTCGGGCGGTATATAGGTTGTAAAAGATTACGTATGAGATAAAGACATGTGTTGTTAGAGATCGAGAGCATTCACATCGAGAAGAGCCGAGGTCTAGCAAGGCCGAGACATATATGGCGGACCTACATGAAAGGAAGACCGCGTAATCCTTTAATGGTCTCTCAATGAATGTCAATGAATGTCATTGAGAGACTATTAAAGGATTGCGCGGTCTTCCTTTCATGTAGGTCCGCCATACTTAGGTCTCGGCCTTGCTAGACTTCAGCTCTTCTCGATGTGAATGCTCTCTTAAACCGCGTGGACTTACCGCGTGACTCTCTTATCCCCCACAATCACGACTGCTGCAGATTGTCACACGAGCAAGTCGTTGCGTTCAAACACTGTTTGGGCTAATTAAAACATGTTATGCGTCCAAGCAAACTTTTCTACCGTGTTCGACGAAAACGCGCCCCCTCACAGCCGATTGTTGTTTCTATACGTCTGGCATCCGGATATGAAGTCTTAGTTTTAGTAAATTATGAGCTGGTCTGCTCCCGGCCAACGACATTGAGCAACAAGCCAAGATACATTTTTTCCAAGACGGTCGATCTAAAAAGCCGTTAGTTAACTCCTTTTTATATTATCAATAGGTTCTAAAATGATTTATTTCCCATTAGACAGAAATAAAATATGAAATACCTAACGCACACCCGTACCACTATTGTTATTTTTTCGATATAATTTTATAGTATAAGTGAAGGTATTTATAGACATGGATGTTTACGATTTTAGAAAACGGCTGAATAACTTCTCATGAAACAATAAGAATATATACATATATCAGTTTTAAATTATACCCACTTTTTATAACCACGGTTTTTCTCTTTCCATACTGGTTTGGACCAAGCGACTGCCACTAAGGCACACAAAAGGACAAGGGTTCCCACCCTCATTTCGTCTCCCTGGGATAAAGGTGCCGATGGAGGTTTAACTAAGGCCAAATGGCAGGCGCAATATATATATATATATAGTAATATCGCCGTGTAGGCGGGCATATGATACGAGCCATTTAGACTCTCTTAAACAGCTAGTTAGTTTTATAGAATTCATCTATGGAGACGGATTTAAAGCACGTTGACGATTATATCCAGGCCTACCCAACTACCAGACTCAGCACCGCATGATCCTGAAATCACCAGTAGATCGGACCACACTACCCGTTTTCGAGGTGTGTGTCAGTACGCACTTCAAAGTATCAGGCGCGACACCGCTCTTGCCTAGTACGCGATGTGATAGTGATGATTCTGAGCGGGGTTGGAAAGTAGTTACCCTGGGTTCTTGATATCCGTATTGCCAGCTCGATCTTGATTTCAGCAATACGAAACCCTAGCCACTAGTCAACCTGGAGGCGTCCTTCGGCAAAATTTTGCCTGAGGCCCTTCCATATTTGGAAGTCACAAGTCTTGTACGTCACAGATTTGACAGCCTGGAGCTGCCTTTCCCGCCTTGCGCTGATACGTAATCCTGCAGACGAGACAAGAAGCAAAGTGGCTGAAGCGGAGTTTGAAATTTGAACTAAGAATATCTTGCAGTCGAAGGTCAGTACTAAAACACAAGCAACATTCTGCTTTAAAAACTGATTTTGGTCTAGCCATTGCACAGCCCTTATAGTGGTGTCGGGCATACAGTGTAGCTGTCTAACTTGGCACAGGGCAAGCACGTGTATTGTGTTTATATCTTCAGGGGCAAATGTTCTTTGATAAGCAAAAAATACAAAAACATTGAATATATATTTTTCTTTTAGAAACATATTATTTATTTTTTACTTTACATCTTAAATACAGTAAATAAAATCAAATAAAGCAGAATTAAATCTGTTTTACGTTTAATTTTGGTTTAATGACATTCAACTGCAGATTCACTGCGGAGCAGTTCTTTTTGATTGACGGAATTCGTACACTGTCGCTATTCCTCAGGGCCAGTAAAAGCGATTCCATCACAATATTTTTAATAAGCTAACTTTTACTGTGCCCTGACACTCAGGGTAAAAGTAGTGCATCTCATCTCAAAATTTGTTCGGGGCTATGATATACTGTGAATTGCGTAGGCCTACAGACGCACACCTTGAAAACAGGTAGTATGGCACGGCCTACCGGTGAATTCGTGATCATTCGGTGCCGAGTTTGGTAGTTGGGCAGGCCTGATATCTAAGAGACCATTCCCACAGATTTTTGGATCGATGAATCTCCCTGGGGAGTCTCACTATATTGCGACCAACTTAACCGGCTTAAATGACTGTCGAGCCTAGTAAAGCTGTTAGGGGGTAATTATCTTTATTCTAGCTGATTTGGTAGGCGGGGCAGACATTTAAGCCTCTTGAGCTGATAGCAATTTAGCGTAAACCCCCAGGGAGTTAGGTCGATCCAGATGGATCGAGCTAAGTATGGGAACCCAGTCTAAGTGTTCAATAGCGGCTTTCACTTTACCACTCATGCAAGTCACTGTTATGTAGATTTATTTGTTAATTCAATTCTTTATTTGGTTATTTACTTCTCAATACTTAATTGCTATCTCATTCTGTTACGTATGTGAATAACCCCGCACGCGACCTCGATTTGGATACTGGTACAGATATGCTGTATATTGCTACATGTATCCAAGAAGTTGTAAAAAGTTGTACAACATCTTGATGTATCAGACCGCTGAACAGTCTATTTGTTATACTTGAATATCCCCCCCCCCCCCCCCCCCCGATTGTCTAAAACACCGTAAAACGTTATATTTATGAAACATTCCTTTAATATGATTTTGGAAAAAATGCGGGAGGGGGGGTGCATCTGAAATAATGATAATAATTTCATTGTGCACACTAACTACTATGTACAATATACTATATATAAGATAATAGTAATGATAGTAAATAGACCTAAACGAAAAGCGAAAAAACAAATATAGCATTATACTGTATACCGGGTATATTACCGAGATACAAGTAAAGTGGATGAGGTTCTTTGTTAATTTGTTACTAATCATTTGCATTTTATCATTATCTGATGATCTTGCAAATTATCAGATTATGAGAAAAAGTACTTGCACCAACTACACGTTGTATAATCGGTCCAAGATAAAATAAACGGCTGCGTTTTTCTTCTCTAACACAATCCAGTTCCGACAACTAGAATGGATAACAGTGCATCTAACGCATTGCAGGCACTTCTGGGGCTTTTGTCACGTTTGGTTATTGAATTTTTGCAATCATGTTTGTCATTTGAAAGGTCTTAACTTAATATGAACTCCGTTTAAGAAAATATGCAAGTGTAAACCAATTAGTAAATGCATGAACGACTAAACAGGTAAATAAAATTATCAAATGGTCAAAACTGTAAAAAGAATTGATGGATTTCTTTTGACCCATGAAAACAACCAAACTGAATCAGTCTTAATACGGAAAGAAACTTCGAAAGCATCACTCTGCCGTTAAACATATGACCTTGCTTTTTTCTTTATTTCCACATCTCCTGGCCAATTAAAAATGCAATGTAAAGACCACTTTTGTCGCTTACAGTTTGAACAAATTTACTATAATGTTGAAAATAACATATTAAATAAGTTCAGAGGCGACTTTCTTCACGGCGGCATAAACCTCTTTCCCACTGGGGAGAATTTCAGAGGCCGGGATGACAAACCCATTAGAAGCATTGCCATCAGGGCGGAGCTCAAATGTATACGCATATTTAATTCCTGCCTTTTCTTTAGCCCAGTCGTAGGATCCACCAGACGCAGCATCTGAAATTGATTTTTTTTGTTATTAATATCAGCGTATGTGCCAGATCTAGTAAAAAAAAAACAACAACAATGTATAAAGGAGAACATTTACACAAATTTTCACGACACTAATTTAATATATAGCTGAACACATACTCTTCTCCACAAAGCGGTGTGACTTTGTCTCAGTTCTCTCTCTCTCTCTCTCTCTCTCTCTCTCTCACCCACACACACACACACACTAGCAAAAAGAGAACACTATTTTTTAACCAATGAAGTTATATCTTTCTAGCCTCTACCTTGGCCACATACTAATTTTTCACCAGATATTTACAGGTATGTCTCTGGCTAACTCATGGCACATTTCTCCACTCGCGTTGGAAAAAAGCGCACATTATAGATCTGCGGTCTTTAAACAGAGTAATATCTTTCCAGTGGTNAAATAAATAAATAAATAAATGAAAACAATGCATAAAAATAAAAACAGTTAGACAGAGGAAGAAAATTAATTTTAGTGTTGAATTGTGTTGAAAACAGGAGAACTCATGGTCATGACACTTTCAGAAATTTGGCATATTAGTATGTATAAGCGCAGTACTTATATACATGTATATTTGCACATAATATTTTGACGTTAAATTATATATCTTTAACTAGCGAACATCAAGAACGCAACTCTAACACTCAACTGAAAAATCCCACACTCTCTCTTATCATGAACATTGCTTGATCTAAATTTACAGTAGGCCTAACATAGAGGTTTACGCAAGATTTTAAGAAATGTATGCATGTCTTACACAAGTCCAAATATTTATATTATTATTTCAACTGACAACATGGATACACTTGATCTATATAACGGGGATTGAACACCAATCAGCATCAGAAGCATTAACGTTATGTCCAAGACCAGATATACCTACAGATGTATGAGAATACTCGTAACCGTCGGGATTTGCAACAGGCAGCATATACCAGGTGTACTTATTCAGCTCTGGAAGGCTGTTGTATTCGGAGAGAAACTATAAAGCAAAAGAATCAAGCATGGTTACAAGACGCTTGAAAACATCTTAATCTTTGTGATATTTGCTTTGAACCACCTGAGGGTTCGTTCCACGAAATTGGTCACAACTTTTAAAATGCGGTCGACTTCAGTTCAATTTAAAGGTTAACCCACAGTATATAATCATGATACAGCAACGAGACACGGATTCATTTGAAATAGTTATAAT